GAGCCATACAGAATGATACACACATTTTAAAAAAAATTTTTATTTTGTGTGTGTGTGTGTGTGTGTGTGTGTGTGTGTGTGTGTGTGTTATGCCTGCCTGATATCAGAATACTATAATACATGACACAGGATGAAAGAAGCTTAAAGGCACATTTGTAACAACATTATATCCACATTCCTATGTTCAAGTAATTACACATTTCAATGAGCTTATTTGCAAGAAGATGAAGATATTCCTAAAAGTTTCTATATTAGCAAAACTGGAGAAGAAATAACCACATGAATTGCAAAACAGTGTATCTCGCCTCAAAGATGCTAATTCAGGTCCAGGGGGATCTAATCAACCTCTTTGTTGAAGTAAAGATAAAACTTTTTGACAGCAAATGCTATTCTGATAAAACAGAATTTTCAATTACTCTATGAACATCTGGTCCATGCTACGATTTCTGGAGCCCAGCAGCACACTGCTTTGCAATGTCACAAAATATTCTCCACTGAGAACTTCTTGTTTTGCCAAGAGATTAATTGAAATGAGTGTTCGGAAAATTAGTGAGGTGAGAGGTGAGTCTGGGGGATAGGTAAGAAGATAAAGATAGGGATGTTCAGTCACTGGATCATAATTTCATTAAAACACTAGAAAAGATGAAATGTTACATTGTTGGTAGAGTGTTTAGAGTGTCAACATCTTAATATGCCAGTGGTTGACACTAGGCTGCGCATAGAACAAAGACTATGAAACATTTTCATGGTTAATTTGTAACAACAGTCACATTAGGTGCAGACTTAGTTCTTCCAATCCATGTTTTACACAGAAAATATGTGTAAATAGATGATAAGCCTCATAAATAAACAAGTTTAGTGAAATGCAGAAGAACCTACACCTCCAAAAATAAAGCAATGATTATATTACATCTGGGTGCATTTGGATGTGGAAAGTCAATAAATGTTCCTGTAAATTTCTGTGCATTGCTTCTATTTGGTACCAATTAGCATGGGAAGGAAACCAATTCAGTGTTGTAGCGAACTCCAAATTGGGTGCATATTAGAGCAATTACAGTAATCTTTTCAGCAGATGAATTTATAATCAATAATTAAAATCATAACGAAAGAAATCGAGTGTGATTTGAAACAAATTACTTGGGCTTGGAACTAGTGTAGGATATGATCCCCCATAAACCCCAATTTCGTATCAATATTACACATTTAAGTAAGCACAATGGGATATCCACATCACCACAAATAGTCATGCAAAGAAGTGAGAGGAGTGCTGGAAGGCTATTAACCTCAGCACTACTAATCTCAGAGACAACACTGCACAAGGAGAGACTCAAATGCAGTGATGCCCTCAACCGTGCAATGAACCATCAGCCGCTGACATATCTCAGCACCCTTCTTGTCAGTTGCAGGTATTAAATAAGTCAATCTTCTCATCTCCTCAAGAAGGAGGTAAATTTACCAAACAAATTCGGTCAGGAAAGGCACTGCTTAAGAGATTTGACTGACATGCAAGCTCAACACCAAACCACCTCAGGAACAAAGTCAGAAGATAAGCCTGCAAAAACTGACAACACTTACATGCTCTCAAGGCACTCTGAGACCAACTGAGAAACACATTCCAAACAGTGCCATATGGGAGGAGAAAACACGTTAAAGCATTCTCCATCATCTTCTTTTCCAGGAAGTCATAACAAGATTCAGAGAAGTAGGGACACCGAGATGAGCCATCTTAATTCATGGGCATAATGGATGGCAAATAAATTTGTAATTCAGTCAGCAACTAGGAAATTCTGCTCAACAAGTTCATCCACCTCCTGAACTGCTTTCAAACTTGTTAAGAGAGATGCCAGGACTAAAAGTGATGCAAGAAGCAGAGACTCTTGCCATTCCCTTATTGCCATTCTGACCCAACTCGTGAATGTGTTTGTGTGGAGTAATGAAAATACAGTCCAAACTCGAAAGTGATTAAACATCTGACTTCTGCACTTTAAATTTGGAAGGCTTTTGGATGGTTTCCTTCCTCTAGTAAACATAGTAGTTCTAGGTTCCTATGCCTAGGGTGAGACTCATAGAAAAGTTACTGAAAATTACGACAGTTGGGTCCTTAGTCAAGACAGAAACAGCATTCACACTGAGCATTCTAAATGCTGTAGTAAAGTTATAAAAACAAATACTGAAGAAACTTGGGGCAGTATGAAGAAGCCTAGGGTCCAGGTATCTCTCAGAAAGAGTGCACCAAATGCAGTTTGAACCTTCCCCTCGGATATTAACAATACTGTATAAGATCATGGGACAAACTGTTTCTAATCAAGGAAAAAATAATGGGTGCACTGCATAAAACCATTTTATTTTGAATTTTCTGAGATTTTCCATCAAATATGTGTTCCCATATGTTCAAAGAAAGAGGCAATACCAATATTCCAATTAGAAATGTCACAGAGAAAGCTACAGTCATGACATCCAAGGTGAGCCAAATTCCCCAATACAGCTCTGTAAGGTACATTTTATTGGGCACATTTGGTGTAATTTTGCAATGGGTCTCACAAAACCAAAAGAGGCATCAGATTTAGTTTTGTCTTAGGAGTTCAAGATCAGGCATACATAGTGAATTCACCCAGTAAGTGCTTTCAACTACTGTGCCTTAGGATAAAATAAGATACAGTTACATAAATGCAAGTTTGAGATAATAAATGGGCTATAAAATATTAATTGTTGGAACAGTTCCTATTTTTTGGACTAGTGACCATTAACCCAAGTTAGCTGATGACACGGTTTCTGTGGAAATCCTGGAGTTGATTTGGAACACACAATTACATATCATTACAAAAATCATCAGAAGTAGTGGGACATCACAAATGTAAAGACTGAAAAGCAGAGATTAAAATGTAAACAAGAGTTCAATTTCCTTTGTCACTCAAGTTGGAAAGGACCAGCTCAAGGGTTAGCTCAAGGTCTAGCCATTGCCGGAGTAATGAAAATATAGACTTGTGAATCAAATACTAAGAAACAAAATGAAAAGATATTGCCAAAGTAGAACAGTAAAACTGTGTCTGTGTGCATTAGTGTGTGAAATCATCATTTGATATGTAAGAGAAGCACATTTGTTTTCTAATACTCTCACTGTTATCCAATCCGCACTATATATAATACAATTCATTTGTAAGAAACACTCAGAACATCTAGCTGCAACTCACTGATATTGTTTTTCTAGAGAAATGTGACAAAAAAAATTAAAACAGATGTTGTTCTATCCAGGCATAAAGTGAGAATCAATTACGACTATTTCCTTTCCTGGAGTCATTTCATTTTAGAGAGCATCTAACAAAACCCCTTTCTGATATAAATGAAGAAGGCATTTCTTTGAGACACACATGAGTAGTAAATGATACATATCAGTCTGCATCCTATGACACACTGCTAATCCTCTGAAAATTAAATTGTCTCTGTTTCAGCTATATAAATGTTTAATTTTTTCATCCTCAGTCATAGTAAGGTTTCCCAGACAGTATATTATCTCTGCAGAAGTCACCACTCACCAATTAAGGAAAACAGCAGTGTACAATTGGTAGTGACCTCTCCATATTATGGACTTTGACACTAGGGTCTCCTGACGAAGGAATGGGTTAGACAATTTAATGGAATCTACAGTGACTAATTTTTTCCATGGAAAACATTTTGTTTTGTGAATCATGCATCCTTTGGATTCATTTACAAAGCCAAAACAAAAGAGTTTAATGATGTTTACAGTGAAATGAGACAGCTGAAGACCAGCACATAATCACCATATTTTGTTTTCTCATCTTTACGACTTTTAGCAGTAGGGCTTCCAGCTGAGCAGGAGTCTAGCTTTTCTCAAGACATAGCCAAGCATTCTGAAGCTTCACTGAGCCTAAACACCAAATTGAATTCATACTTCTTAATTGAAAAAGACAGGCTGTTTGCATAGCATGTTTACATCAGTAAAATATTGAAGATGACATTTGTGCCCAAGTCCATATGAACATTCTGCCTTAGTTGAATCCTGATTTCTGCCTCCACAGATTTAAATAGCACCTCTTGTTAAAGCATGTGTGACTGGGTTCAAAAAATTAATACTTCTTCATACATGAGGATGCTGCTCCTGACATGTGCACTAAGATATTTTTCACAGTAGCAGAAGGTTTTTTTTTTAATTTTTATTATTTTTATTTTATGTGCATGCATGCGTTGCCTGCATGTAGGTAACTGCACCTGTGTTGTGCAATGCCCACAGAGGTCATAAGAGGCTGCCGGATCCCTTGGGACTGGAGTCACAGACAGTTGTTAGCTGCCATGTGAGTGCTGGGATTCGAACCCGGGTCTTCTGCAAGAAGAACCAGTGTTCTTAACCGCTGAGCCATCTCTCCAGCCCCCAGCAGAAGGTTTTTGTACTGACTCAGCCACAGTCTCTTAGCCTGTTTCCCCTATGATCAATGGCATGAATGTGTGCATCAGCTCAATGGCTTTGGAGTAGTAGCCCTATAGACACAAAGGGAAGTCTGGAACTTTCTATACTCAGTAAAGACTACACACTCTGTGAGCAGAAAATAGAGTCTCTCTCCAGATAAAGTTAACCAGCCAGCTAGGGAAATGAACCCACTCCTCTGGTCTCATTAGAACTGTGTTCTATGCAGCTCAGCTGATTCCATGCACTATAGCAAAAAGAGACATTTATTTTTGGTGAGAAAGCATCTTCTCACTTCCTGTGTGTTCAGTGAAGCTATTACCAAACAGAAAGTATGCAATAGGTACATACGGTCATCATATAAAATGTCCCCATATTGTACAGTCCTAAAGTGCCTATTCAAGGGAGAAGGATGTGGATAGATGTTGTAACATCTCAAAACTCTGTAGATGCTGTGGATATGGGAGGTCCGTGGATACCCTGATAATATATGCATTACAATAAAGCAGTACAGTGTATCTGAAAATACTCTGGGTTCTTTGGGGCTTATTGTTACAACTTAAAATTTATCAACCCTTACCATGGTCGGGCATCTGAGATCCCATGGAGGTCACGCTGGTGTTCAGCACATCGTTGACAGCAGTATCACAGTACAGGCTCCTCTGGACATCATGCTCGCTGTCAGTCTGGTCACTCTCCTCATGCCCACTGTCCTTCAGACTGTTGCCCTCTAGGTCCTTGAAGGTGGAGCTGCTGGGTTGAAGAAAGCATGTTAATTTACAATTGTGAAAGATCGGATTTTAAAAATCTTTGCAAGCCAAGATGATGTCAGCTCTAAAATGAGGCCAACGGTGTCTAGACTGTTCAAAAGAGTAGAAATGGGGAGAAGAGATATTTCTGTTTAAAGATAATGGAACTTAATGTTACAGGGAGTTTTCACTATTGGATGCTGATGCAGCTAATATTTTCATTTGTTTCTTTTCAATGCATCACTACAGGCAAGGTGGAAGAGAAGACAAATCTAAAACCACCCCTAATAATGTCACCATTTCAGTTTTTTTCTATTGCTATAGAATCAAAGAAAAACAGAAATAGCTAATTTTTACTGAGAGATGACTATCCATGAGTCACTGTTTTAAGTGATCAATATTAATGTTTTAAGTTGCCATTGCTGTATAAGAAAAAGATGCTACTAATATTCCTATTTATAGATGATATAACAGAGATGAGTAGAAGTTAAATGATTTGCCCAATGTCACACTTGCAGCAAAATAAAAAAAAAAAGTGTAGCACATCTAAGATCAAATCTAGTTTGTCAAGCTCCAGTACATAAAATCTGAACTACACTATGTAAATTGCTTCTCCAGTGATATCTACTTATCATCAGCTGTAAAAAGCAAAAAAGTGGCAGAAATGGAAGTAGTATAATTAAAATAAAGAGGATAAAACAAAAATAAATTCAGGAATGGAGAAATGAGGCCAGTTGCTTGCTTGCTTGTTGTTTGCTGACTGGGTTTTTGAGACAGGTCCCGTTCTGTACCCTAGGTTAGCCTTATGTACCCCAGACTGGCCTTGAACTTGTGCTGATTCTCCTTCCTCATCCTCCTCCTGCATGCTAAGTTCATTATGTGATGGATTGGTTTAATAAATCCAACAGTAATTGAACCAAACTACCTCAAGCTGAACTATCTACTACAACTGTGAACTATCACACCTGCCTCCCAGGTTAATTTTGACTGAAAATGACAGAGGAACCTATTCAAGAAAATAAGAGAATGTATATGAGCTGAGAAAGTCATTGGTGCATGAGAAGTTTTTTGGCTAATTTTATGCGCCAATTTGAGTAGAATGAGGGTTACAAAAAAAGATTAGCATTTGGATTGAAGAACTAAGTAGAGCATATATCTTTTCCCAGTGTTGGTGGACCCATCCACTTCACTAAAGAAGGCCTAAATAGAAGAAAAGGCAAAAGGTTAAGTTCGCTCTCTGAACTGGGACATCAGTGTTCTTCTCCGCTCAGAGAGCTCCTGGTTCTGGGGCCTTCAGATTCAGACTGGAATCTGTACTGCTGGGTCTCCGATTCTTGGGCTTTCAAATCATGCCACCAACTTCTCTGGTTTTTCTAATTTATAGGTGACAGATCACAGAACTCAAGACTCCACAACAACATGAGTCAATGCCTTATGACAAAATCCTTTCTAGGTAGATATACACAGATGGACAGACATAGACACAGATACACCTATTGGTTCAGCTTATTTGAAAAACCCTAATGTAGGAGGTTAACACAAGAATGAGAACCAGAGGGTAAATACTAAGAGAACAGTGAGTATAGGTATACTGAGAATACAGAAAATTTCAGTTCAATTACTGTTGGAGTTATTAAACCTATCCACTACATAATGCACTAAGCATACTATTCAAGCATACTATATTTCATACAATTTCTCACAGAACAGAGAATAAGACATGAAGCACACCTCACAGGACCCACTTGCTATTTGTAATAGTTTGTATGTCTTGACTGGGTCTCCAACAGTGCTATTCCATATTAATAGGTTATGCCTATGAAACACTAAGTAGATGATGAATCGATTCCGCACTCAGTGTGGTGACAGCAAAGGCAGTCAAGAAAATGTACTGTTGTCTCGACAAGGGATAGTGGCATGCTCGCGAACTAAGGCAAGCTCCAGCAGACCTACTGTGCCTCTGTAAAGGGAGCCCTGTTGCCATGGCACTACAACCTCACTTGATCTGTTCAACTTTGAACATTCACATGCCTGGCTCTCTGAGACTTTAATAAGGACATTAAGTACATATAGTGAAGAGCTGTGCCATAAACACAATGACACTGTCACTCTCCATACTCGGTCAAGAAGAATCACAGAAGATTTTTAACATCTGACCAACCTAACTGCTGAATGCTTGGTGACCTAAATGTAAAATGGAAAGGATCAAGAGGGCAGTAACTAGAAAGCCATAATTATAAGAAAATGAAGAGTCAGATGGAGTAAAGCATTGACCTGACAGCTAATTATTTTCAGAAAGGATATCTAAACCTCATCTATATTAAAACCCAAATCACTCAATAGGTCAGCCCATGCAACTGCTCCAAATTATGTCACAGAGATAAGTCAGCCCTATGAACCCACCAGTTCTATTAAAAATCATCCTATAATTCTTTTGTGGTCAAAAACAACTTAGTGGAAACACATGATTTAAAGTGTTTCACCATTTCTAGCTTCATGGCCCAGACTCTAGAGCTTCCTGTAAATATTAACCCACAGTTTAAATAGATTCAACGTTTATATTTTAGAAACAAAACTTGGCCCTGCCTACAAGCACTCATATACCTCAAGAAAGAACAAATGACTTGCCTGCATAATATTACAGGCTGCTCCATTTTTATAACAAATATTAACTTTCAGCCTGTATTATCTGGTATCTGCAGTATAATGAAAAGTTCCTTAAATTCCTCAGCACAAAACTGTCACTTTGAGCCAGAGAATTCAAGTCTAAATTGACTACATTTCAGCAGTTGCCAAAAATTGCTTGAGATGTAGGATAGTGAATGATATAATCTAAAGACAAATGTAATTAGCTATCCCTTAGAGCAGGACTTCTTAACCTTGGCACTATTGAATTTTTGATCACATAATTCTTTGTTGTGTACATCCTGTGCACTGAGATGTTTAACAGGTTTCCTGGCCATTGCCCAGTAGATGCCAGTAACAACCCCACCAAGTTTAACAATAAAAATGTCTCCACAGAGACACTGCCAAATCACCCGCAGTCGGGTACAACTGCTCTAAGTTCTTTCCTCTGTATTCCTGCAACATAGTCTATGAGGAAATGCACTGAACTTGGAGTCATTAGGACAAGTGATAGCCTGCAATCTACCACTTCATCTATGTTGCTCTGGGCTCTACATCTAATCCTTTCAACCTCAAGTTCCTTGCCTGTATAATATGTTTGCTAACGTCTCCCTCATAAGACCATTCTGAGAACTCAGTGGGATACTTTCCATAAAGCACCAGATATTAATAGATGCTCAATTAAATGAGCATTGTTTCTGTATGATCATTGTTCTGTATGATAATGCCTTCACCACATTACAATTAAATAATGTGGCTATGGTCTTTTATGGGATTGGTAGAGGAATTTTAATGAATATTTCTATGTCTTCTGTTCATAATGGTCAGACATTGTCCATTAATACATTTTCCTAAAATTCAGGAACAGAAAAAAATAGATCACCTGTGAAATATGTATCCTTCCTTTATTAAAAAATGAGAACTATATGACCTGATTCACTTTTCATTTTGTCTTGGCTTCTCAAAAGCTTCAAGGTAAACATAATATTTAATTTCACTGAGTTCCCTCCCTGGACACCGATGATCTCTATCTCACCTCTCCTAATTGGTTTTAAATCTGCCTTTTAAAATTATGATCATCCATTTTCTATGCATCTGTATGGTGCAACCTACCTCAAAACTTCTGGTTTTGAAGCAAAAAAATTTTTTACTGGGATCTAAGGGCCTGCTGGTGTGACCATGAGAATTTGTGCATTCTTAGAAGAAAAATCAAAAGATATAACCACTACACCCCCCAAAACCTTGGGGTAGTTAACTCATTTAAAGATTAGTTTGCCCATCTGACAAACTAAGTACCACTTACTGTGATCTTGTAAGGACATTTAGTGGCTTAATGAATGGATTTGTGTAAGGCAGTTTAAGAATCAGTGAGCAAGATGCTGCAAATAGTAAAACAGCCTGGTAAATGGCTACTCACCCAAAACAAATAACAATTTATGTCAGGCATAAAAAATGCTGATTTCACTTGCTTTATTACCTGTGTACCTCTTGGGAGATGAAAGACTTGTAAAACAACTTTTGTGGGGCAATGAATTAGGTGGACCTGTTTCCAATGGTATTGTGAATGTGAATGTTTCTATTACTGCTGTGGTGGCCCAAAGAGGGACAAGATCATTTTTAAACACCTACAACCAGATACTACACACAGGAGTTTTCTACAAATACTGATGAAAAGGCATTACACAAATTCTAACCTGCATTTTCCCTTTGAAGGATTAGAAATATTTTTCAGAAGACAGAAGTATCTAAAAGGTTGTAGGTCTTATCTCCTAGTAGGTGATAACCACATTCCTAGAGAATGCTGTTTGTGACTAAGAAGGGAGAGTGAAGAGGATTGTGTCTGTTTAAGGAAAAGCAATATGGATTGCTTTCTGGGCCACCTCTATCATTAGTCACCTTGGGAACCTGTTAAAATTGGAGGTTCTCTAGGGATGGAGCTAAAGACTGCTTTTACTGAGTATCTCAGGAGGTGATCCCAATACACAGTAACATTCAGAAATCGATACTTGAAAAGAAAGTTTACTGTTCGTTTGTAGTTAAGAAAGGTTGACGATTTCCTTCAACTTCTTCCTTTCATTCATCTGATAAGCATGTATCAATGGCTTTCTACATGGCACCATACCAGATGCCACAGAACTCCACGACAATTTGGGTAGTAAAGGAAAGCACTGTGCATGGCTTAGGAGTCACTGCTCATTTTCCATTCTAAACAGTTTGGGATGGGCTGCCCATTTACCACTGCATTTTCCTTCAGCTACAGCTTCATGCTCTGCTTGAAAATACTCCTAATGCACTGTAGGAAGTGGGCATTAGCCAGCAGCACAGAAAGCAAACTTGAGGAAAGACAGTTGCGTCAGTGGCAAAGTACCACTGCTGGCTTTCTTTGCTTTGAGAAGTTAGCAAGGGTACAAACATAGCAAAAAGAAAATGCATCCAGAAGGAATTCTAAAACCTCTTAATTTGTTAATCTGGGGCTTTTCTCATAAGCCTCCTGGGGTAGACAGACCTTCAGGTTGCAAATAATGTTCAGATACAATTTCTTCACACAGAAAGTTATGGAGAACGTGGCATCTTCTTTGTCCCTTCCAGATCCACTCCTCCTGCTTTTCAAAACTTTGATTTATACCTATGAAAATCCTTTGCCTTTCTATTTCCACCAAAATTACCTCATGGAGGCCACTAGCAGGAAATCAGAAAATGGGAAAAGAAGGACGTTAATCTACTGACTTTCCTTTAGGATCACCTCATCCTGACAACATACCTCAACTGACCAGAAGTCACTATCACTTCCCACATTCTCTTGCTTAGTCTTTTCAGAGGTATTTTCAAGTCCTCTGCTCTTCTTATACCAGATAAATGCAATTTCCCTTGCCCCATCCTTTGCAAACACCTGTTTGTAAATAAATTTTCCTGAAGTCATTCTAATTTGACTCTATCAACTACTTCACGCAGAAGCCCTGATTGATACAGGAAAGAACCAGAGGTGGTAAGTGCTCAAATACCAGAGTAGACAAGTGTGAAAACGTAAAAAGTGCCTGTGTGTAAAAATTCTAGCTAAGAAAACCCCAAACTGGGTGAGAGAAACATTCTTGGGTAAGTAGAAATTTAATAGAAGATGAGAAAAATGAATAAAAAAATGAGTTATAGGAGTTAGCCTGAAATTTGACTGCCATTTTTCAAAAGTCAGCAATTTAATAATAAAACTAAGACTGATTATCAGGTTCAGAATTTTGCAGACAGGAAATTTTTTAAACATAAAACAGGTCTTCAAGAAACCACAAATAGAGGCCTGCCTTTCAGACACAGCGGTGTGTGCTAGCCAAACATTTTCCACTGTTTGATCACATGGTGTTACTACTCTCATTTTTTAATATTTAATTTATCATTTTTATTCTATGTGTATGAGTGTAATGTCTGCATGTATGTAAGTGCACCTGTGTGATGCAAGGCCTGCGGAGGTCAGAAGAGAGGGTGTTGGATACCCTGGAACTGGAGTTATGGACAGCCACCATGTAGGTGCTGGGAACTGAACCCGGATCCTCTGCAAGAGCAACCACTGCTCTTAACTGCTGAGTCATCTCTCCAGCCCCTCACTACTCTCATTTTCCACACATTTTACATATATGATGGTTACTCCCTAGAAAAGGATAGCACACAAAATATCCTGTATCTTTCCAGTCATTTGGCATTGTCTAAATTCAACTATCCTCATAAATTCTAAGACCTTTGTGATTTTCCAAAGTGATTACAGCTCTATAAACAGAAAGTGGCAAAACTGTATGTGTCCCCAAACTTTAAGATATTTCCTCTTGGGGCTGGAGAGATGGGTCAGTGGTTAAGAACACTGGTTGTTCTTGCAAAAGACTCGGGTTCGAATCCCATCACCCACGTGGCAGCTAATAACGGTGCGTAATTTCAGTTCCAGGGGATCCAACAGCCTCTTCTGTCCTCCGCGGGCATTGCACGACACGGGTGCACTTATCTACAAGCACGAAATACATGCATACACATAAAATAAAAATAATAAATAAAATATTTTAAGATATTTCCTCTTAATCTGGTAGTCCCTGGTAAATAAAACTATCGTCTTTGATTTCAGGCCACATCTGGAGACATTTATTCCAACAGCCCATTCAGCCTAGGATGCACCATTTTTGGATATGTGTGTAGATATAATTAATCAAAATCAGAGATGTCCAGTGAGTCTCAAAGCTGTTGTAGAAATAAGTGTATCCCCAAAGCTAAATGTTTAACATAAGTCTTTATCCTCATCAGTATGCCTTGTAAGTTGAACATTCAGGACTGATCTAAGATGTACGGGTCCCCAGGAGTCTTTTTACTGGGGACCCTTTCTACTAAGCTATGAAAATCAGGCTCATGTTATCAGTTTAACCTGGTCAGAAAATTTGCAAGTACCCAGAAGCAGCTAGCCCAAGGGACCAGTAAGGATCAAGTCACTTTTCTCACCACTTCAAAAAGAAGTTTTAAAAACAATCCTAAAGCAGAAAACAAAGAAGCATGTTCATGCCAAACCATTCTAATCAGTACATATAAACAGGGTTTTTCTTTCTTCCTAAAATAAATTAAATAATTTCTAATTCTTTACCTTTATGAGGAGGATTCTTCCCAACAACTGAGAAAAATTCCAAATTATATTACAAGAACAGCCAATCAAAAGTGACTAATCACCACTTAAGGTCACAAACCATTCCAGACCAATAGAGATAAACCTACCATAGTTTTAGGGGTTACTGCAGCAATATAAATTAAACTCAATGTGAATTCAAGTTTCTTATTCAACAAGCTAGCTTCTTCCTTTGAATCCTATTCTTACAGTGATATAAATTTATGGGATTGCAGCCAGCAAAATAATAGAATTTTCAGATATTTTCCACTCTAGTTCTAACATACGCTGTTTGCTTCTCTGCTTTATTGCTATTATTTTAACAAACATACTCAGCGTTCAATTTTTGCTGCAGAATAAGCAGTGGACCATTCAAAAGACTATTTACATGAAACAGCAGTAAAAGCATCATCTGAATGATCAAGTGCTGGGTTATTTTTGCACAAGAAGTTATCTCCTTTGTATAATTCTGCCTCCGTAGAAGGCTTCCTAATTCCCCGTCTTCTTCCCATTGCATGACTTTGGGGCCCACTGCACCAGGTGAAAGCTTTTCTGTATTCAAATCTGCTCCAGACGCACATACATTGTAGCTAAGCTGTGACCAACCAACCCTACAGATTTCAAGATTTCATCTGAAACGCTTCAAAATATCTTGGCATGTATTAAATCAGAAAATTTCTTTCCTCTGTCATCTAAAACATATTATAAAAGATATTTCAACTATCATTAAAAATCTTTAAAATTTTAAAGCTGTCAAAATAACAGCAATCTGAGAACATACTGCAAGTCCCACAACAGAATAAAAATTGAAGCCTCCTATTATTCAAAGCCGATAGCAACAAGAATTAGGGTATCATGATTTTGGACGTTTTTTTAGTCTTCTAATTTTTCTAATATTGGATTTCTAAATTATCAATAAAACATTTTTTGTCATTTCAACTTCATTTTTAATTGTGAATATTTTACATACATCTTAATGGAAATAAATGTAATAAAAGCCAACAGTGATTCTCTTCGTGTAATGGAATTAACAATATTTATTTACTTTTTATTTTTTTCTTAATTTTTCAAACATTCTACCACATGTACAGACATTCATCTTCAAATGCAAAAATCCATACTTTAAAAAAATTGTTTTAATATTTAATTAAGCATACCTATAGAAATTCACAAGCAAACCCACATACCTTTTGATTAAGTGGGCTCGGCTATTCACATAGTTGGAGTCAAAAGAATAGTTTTCAGTCTGTAAAGAGAAAAGAAAAAGATGAAAAGGATTCATAAGAACAGTCCAAGGGTCCAACTTACAAAGATGCTTTTGTTGTTGTTTTGCTTTGCTTTGCTTTTTTGTGGGGTTTCTTTTCCTCCAGGAAAAAATAAATGAATGAGAAAACGAAGCCATAGTGGGGCAGCAGTTTGATGTATACTGTCTTTGGGGCCCCAGGGCCCTCTGAAGGCCAGTAGCTTTCTCCTCCAGACCAGAGAAGAATTGACTCAAACGTTCTCTAGAACAGAGCTGGCTACTGACCATGTAACCACTTATAGAGAAGAGCCAGTATGACTCACAATCATTACAGAAACTAATTGCTTCCCATTCCCCAGTGGAGACGATTTTATGCCCATCAAATTGACTACAAGTTCAAAGGTATTTTTATTAGTAGAGATAATTAACTTGTTAAAATATTTATTCCAAAGATATGGAAATGCAGGCAAGGTAATCCCCCACTGTGGATTTAAACTCTGTTCTTTCCTTTGTTTTAAGACATTTGCTCAGCACTGGTTATGCAGGACAGCTTTCCTTTTATCACAGATATAAAGGCAAACAGGTACTATGCCTAAAACAGGGTGAAGGGCAGTCCACAGGGGGTTTGCCAAAGCTTTTCATGTGAAACATGAAGTTTGCAAGAAAACCGTTGTCTCAGCCTCTATCATTAAAATGCCACTGTCTAATCTGGTTACAGTAGACTGCTAGAGCAAGGGCTTTACAAAAGCAAATGCAGACTACTTGCCAGATGAAAGAGATGGGAAAACAGCTTATGAGCACCTTAAGGCTAGGTGCACTGAAGTGGAGGGGGCAGCTTAAGAATGGGGAGGTGCCAGGGAAGAGTCTATAATGAAGTCAGTGTCTTAGAGAAGTTGATCCTACCTCAATGCTAAAATGGAACTTTTGTTGAACCATTTCATGAGTCAAAAAAGCCCAGTCACATCTCCTCACCTTCCCCCCAGTCTACCATTCCTAGCATTCTTTAGAGGCCTTCAGTAATCACTTCAACTGAAAGTGCATGGGAAAGGAAACACAATAGCTGTCTAGAGAACAAAATAGCAGCTACTTTACAGATGACTACCTGTCAGACATCAACTGCGCTAGGCTGTTAGATGCAGTCCTTGCTTTCAAGGGGTTCCCAGTTTGATAGAAGAGAAAATGAGACAGGTAATAGCGGATCCAGCTACCACATGGACACTAAACAGCCAACCATCAAGATAAGTACCCTAGATCTCTAGAGTAGGTAGGAAGTTGGCATTCCATAGGTAGGAGGGAAAAAAAGGAGAAAAAATTGGGAAGGAAATGAAAACATAATCAGTGTCCTGTTCTTACTCAGGCACGTCCACTCCCACCCTCCATGTCCTTCCCTAAAGACAGACCATGTAATATCTACTGTCATTGCTTTTATCTAGAAGTTTACAAACCCTTTAGTATAAACCACATGTAGTGTTTGATGATATTTGAGGAAATGGCTTGAAAGAATAAAAATCAAAATGGTCGCTCCATTTCTAATTTACTCATGAGAAAATGCATACTGCGACTGTGACAAATATAGGCTTGAAGCTGTGTTGGGAATATGATGCAAGTGTTTGCTGTAATAAGTTATTCATCAGTCAGTCAACCAAAAAACACTGAATTCATTTTACCAACACAATAGATAAAATGGATTTGTTTCAATGTGCTCTTTTAAGATATTTAGTGCAATCCATGATTAAAAAAGAACTTCCCACCTCCTAAAAGTCATGCTACCCTGTCAAAAAGGGAATTCATTGAGCATTCAGTAGTTCACATATTCATTTCACAGTACAGTATTTAGTAAATTATTTATTCTTTCTGTCCTCAGTCTCCTCTTATTTGAAGTATAAACAATAGAAACATGAATTCAAAGAAGATAATTAATGGCATTTATTAAGATTCATGATGAGACTCCATATCCATTGTTTTCTACAGAGATTAAAATTGCAAGTAGTACTAGGAATTTATCTCATTTAGGGAATGAAACAATAAGTTTCTCCAAACTTACTAAATCATATTTTTTGTGAATAAAGTAGCAGAAAAGCACATCAATACAAAAAGAAGAAGTAGCCAGGCGTGGTGGCACACGCCTTTAATCCCAGCACTCAGGAGACAGAGGCAGGCAGATCTCTGTGACTTCAAGTCCAGTCTGGTCTACATAGCAAGTTCCAGAACAGCTGGGGCTACAGGGAGACCCTGTCTCAAAAAAAAAAAAAAAAAAAAAAAGAGTTAGAAAAAGAAAAGAACAATATTTGCTTTACAAAGAAAACAAAAAGCAAACAAATAAAATAAAATGGACATAGGCTTGGTGGTAGAACACTCGCCAGCATGCGTGAGGCCCTAGGTTCAATCTCCAGCATTGAAAAAAAAAAAACAACAAAAAACAAAAAAGGAAGCCTCAACTCACACATAAAACCAGCAAACCAAGTCCCCTGCTGTCCATAAACTGCGCAAAGGGAACCTGCTGTTCCGAACTGTTATCAGCCCTTTCCCTGCGTGTGCTCAGGACTTACTGACTGGCCTCTAACAGATAGAATATGGGGACCTGGTGGCACAGCACTTGTGAGACTGGATTAGAGCAGGTGGGGCTTGCTACCTTGGACAGTCTCTTGCTTTACGGAGAGCTGCCATGGGGTGAAGAGGCCCTGTGAAGAGACCCACAGGAGTGAGGAGAAAGCAGGTCCCTGAAGCCTGCTACTTTGGAAGTGAGCCAATCCTCTCACCCCTGGGGTCAAACCTCAAGCCCACAGCCTTGGTTCATGGTTGGACTATAGCACAGGGGAAACCCCAGCTACAAAGAGTTATGCTGCCCTGGAAGTCTGACCTACAGAAACCAGGAGGTGGTAAGTGATTGCTGGTCCCTGCTATCAAGTTTGGGAGTAATTTGTTACAGGGCAGCAGATAACTCCGAACACACTGCTATTCCATCCAAAGCTGGGAAAAATGATCAGGAACAACTGCCGGGTGTGGTGGCCCACACCTTTAAACCCAGCACTTGGGAGGAAGAGGCAGGAGGCTAACCTGATCTACATAGCAAGTTCCAGGCCAATTGGGGCTACAGGGAAACCTTGTCTCAAAAAGTAAAAAAAAAAAAAAAAAAAAAAGAAGAATTAGAGAAAGAAAAGCAGAATATTGATCTTGCAGGAAAAATCATAAACAACTTCCCAAGTTAATATCATGTTAAGAAAAGAAAGTTTCCAAGCAGAAAATTTTATATAGGCATGCAGATGATGTGTGCATTGTGTGCACTGTGCTGCAAATGTGGAACTCTGTGGAGACCTGGGCTCCAGGCATAGTGCCAGAACCACATGTTTGAGCAAAGACGAATAATCATGCAAATGTTATCTCTAATGACTGTATTGGTTCTCTGTCCTAATGGAATCATGGATCTCACCATGAGGTTGCCCACTCCCAGGCAATGACTTAACTGTAGATAAAGGTCTAGAAGTCTGGATTGTAATAATCTTAACAATTCCCATCACTCCCCAAGATTTATAAATTGTCTAACAGCAGACAGAAGACATAGGCATGGTATGCTACTCTAGAAAGAAAAGCATCACCTTCCTCTTTTTCCTTTGCTCTTGTTTGTTTGTTTGTTTGGTAGGTTGGTTGGTTGGTTGGTCGGTCGGTCGGTTGGTCAGTCAGTCGGTCGGTTGGTGGTTGGCTGGTTGGTTTGTCTGTTTTGAGACAGGGTCTCCCTGTAGCCCCAGCTGGCCTGGAACTCTCTGTGTTGCCCAGGCTGGCCTTGATCTCACAGAGATCTGGCTGCCACTGCCTCCCTACTGCTGGGACTAAAGGTATGCTTTCTTCTTTACTCTTAAAGAGAAAACTTCCCAGGCTTGTGCCTCTAGAACTACAAATACAAATGTTCTATTGTCCAAATCAACAGACAGTCCATGCTGCATCCCAATGAAGCAGGTTCCAGAATCAACTGTCCCAAATTGAATGGGGTTGTGCTAACTCATCCCTTGTTTTTTGTCTTTACAATCAGTCGTGGTCACCAAAGAAGCAACTTGGCTGAAATTATGGGAAAAACCTATATAGCAGAATCATTTCAATAGAACAGAATCCACTCTTCTGACTTCATTAGTACTTCATGCAAAGCAACTGTGACAACTGACCATAGGTGGCCTTATATTATGGGTCTATGTTTACTGGCATCAAGAATACCACCTCATTCTGGAGAGATGCCTTACCAGGAAAAGCACTGGCTGTACAAGCATGAGGACCTGAGTCAGCATTCCCAGGATGCATGTAAAAGCCAAGTGAGCGTGACAAGCTGCCTGTAATCCCAGCCCTTGGGAGGCTGAAATCATGAACTCTGGGCTGAGTGAGAGACCTTGCATCAAATTACAAGGCAGAGACATTTTAAGGAAGACTTTTGGCATCAGCCTCAGGCCTCCACACACATGTGCACATGCATACATGTGTATCCTCATACACATGCACACACATGCCCACTACATACAAACACACCACACATACATAAATATATTCAAGGAAGTAGTTTTAGTGCATACTTGGTTCATCTGTATACTTAAACTCAATGCTTGTGCACAAAAAAAGAAGTTTTTCTCTTCTGGTGGATCAAAGCATGATACTCAAGTAGCTTGAGAAGGAGGCACTCTTGTCTTAATGAATAGATTGCACACGTTAAGCCACTGGTTCTCAGCCCTGGCTGTACAACAGAATCATCTCAGGAACTTTTTAAAAGTCCTGTCATCAAAGATGTACCCCAAAACATTCCAAAATAATTGGCCTGGACTTGGGCCCAGGCATTCATATTACATTTAAATTTTCCCAGGTAATTCTAAAATACCCACATGGTAGAAAACAAGTGTCGTGAACAAAGACCTGGCCACAGGCTTTGGCCTGATGCCCTGTGTTTTCTAAGGCAAGCTTAGTTGTTTCTATGACGGCACTTCTGTGAGATTATCACCCAAGGTGATCTCACTATAGGACAAAGA